ATATGTATTTATATGTCACATCGATATTTATATGCCATATATATATGTATTTATGCCATACATATGTATTTGTGTCATATATATGTATTTAAATGCCATATATGTGTATTTATGTGTCATATATATGTATTTAAATGTCATATATATGTATTTGTGTCATATATATGTATTTATAGGCCATATATTTATATACCATATATATGTATTTAAATGTCATATATATGTGTATTTAAATATCATATATATGTGTATTTATATGCCATATACATGTATTTATATGCCATATATATATGTCTTTATATGTCATATATATGTATTTATGTGCCATATATATGTACTTATATGCCATATACATATATGTATTTAAATTTCATATATATGTATATTTATATGTCATATATATGTGTATTTATATGCCATATACATGTATTTATATGCCATATATATATGTCTTTATATGTCATATATATGTATTTATGTGCCATATATATGTACTTATATGCCATATACATATATGTATTTAAATTTCATATATATGTATATTTATATGTCATATATATGTGTATTTATATGCCATATACATGTACTTATATGCCATGTATATGTATTTAAATGTCATATATATACGTATTTATATCTGTGTGCACAGAAAAAGGTATGGCAGCACTATTTGAGTGAAGGAAAAGTGGTTTGGGTGCAAATCTGAGGAGATTTACTGTTGCCTAAATGTGTTTTCATTGTAAAGGAAAACAGTTCAGCAGCTTTGCAGCGAAGTGTAAAGTGGGTGTGTGCTGGCACAGGGTGGTCCCGCTGGACCCCTCAGGGTTGCTCTGACCCCCCCTGGGCACCTCCTGCCCCACCCCAGCGGTTCCCCACCTTGCCCAGCACCCCCGCAGGATCCCCACCCGCCCTAATCCCTTTATGGTGTTTGTGCCGGGCTCCTCCTGCCCATCCTGCTCTTTGCCTTCCCGCTAATCTCCCCACTGAGCTGTTTGGCAGGACAGAAACCAGCCCGGGTTGGTCACACCGATCCTGGGAGAGGGAATGCTCTCTCCGGGGTCTGCAGTGCTTGGGGAGTTTAACAAGCAGGGAGGAATTCCCTCAGTTCTGAGCAGCATCCTGAATCCTGGAGTGTGATTTGGAGTAAAACCTGAACTCTCCATCCCAAAATCCCTGCTCCATGCCCAGGGATCTTCTCTGGCAAGTGTGGGGAGGGATGTGACAGCCAAGGCCCAGCCCCCTGCCCTGCTGCAGCACCAGGAGAAGGTGTAAAAAGTCACCCCAGGAAGTAAACTTGTGGTAAAACATATTGTGTTACTGAAGATTTTCAATCTGAAACATTTCTTTATGATTTATTTCTATTCTATCAAAGCAAGAAATATCTTCGGTGTGTTTTGGCAAGGCTGGAAAATGCTCAGGCTGATAAAGCCTCAAAGACAGAGAGATAAAAACTGGAAGTATTTAGGATTTGGCCAGGTCTCCTTAGGACGGGATCCATAATGATCCCAAAAAAGACACCGGGAAGGGGAGCAGCCCTGCTGCATCCTGCATCCCTGTGGGCACAGGGGTGGCATCCCAGATGGCACCAGAGGTGATGGTTGGTCCAGACACAGCAGAATCAGCTTCTCTCCCTGCTGTCCTCCATGGGGAGCAGCCCCTCTGCTGCAGCCCCTCTGCTGCAGCTCTGAATGGCTTCACAAATCCTCAGGAGATTTAATCTGTGACCTTTTACTTCTCCAAGGACAGCCCTGCTCCCTTTCCTGCCCTGGGCTCCGACCTTGGGCCAGTGACTGATGCTGGGAGCCTGCTGGTGGTTAATATTTACTGTACCTGGCGTGGAGGGGAGCAGGCAGGAGCCCGCTGATTGCAGAGCCCGGCCTTGTTTGGGGGAAATGTTATTCCAGAGCCTCGGGGACCCAGGTGTGAGCTGTGCTGGCTGTTGTTGGTGTAACAGGGTTGTTGCTATGGAAATGGCTGGAATTGGGCTGTGGTGAGGGAAGGCTTGATCCCAGGCAAAACTGACTAAGCAGGTGCCCAACCTTATATGGCAGAAACGCTTTTTCCTGCTTACCAAAATCCTTTTTCATATGAAATAATTGTGTATATTTGGTGAGCTGTCTCAGGGGGTGGTGTTTGGGCATGGTTTTTCACCCTTTTCCACCCTCAGGAATTCTGTGATTCCACACCTGTGCCCCCACAGGCTGCGCAGGCTGCTGCTGTCCCCAAACACCACAAAGCCACCGTGTTTGCCCTCCTGGGGCAGGGGGGCTCTGACCAGGTGAGGGATTATTGGTGTTTGTTCTGTCTTCCTCTCTTGGGTGTTTTGGTGCTCAGTGATTCCAGCTGCTCACAGAGGAGCTCCCCAATCCAATTTGCTGGGTTAACTCAGCCTGCATTTTGTTCCATTTCTCCCTGGGTTTGAGCCCACTCAGGCTCCGGGGTGTTTCTGCACAGCTGGGCACATGCAGGAGGGAAGCCAGAGCTTTCACTGGGGATAAAATGAGCCTTTCCCCCACCCAGCTGGGTCAGGAAGGTGCAGGGTCTGGGCAGAACCCTCCCATCACACTGAGCACACCGGTGCTGGTCCTGCTGCCTCTGGAGGATGCAGCTCCCCTCTCCTCGGTGCGGTGTGTGATCCTTCCCAAGGGATGCAGATCCATCTCTGAGATTGCTGCTCAGCATCAGCTGCTTCTCCAGCCCTGAGGCTGGTCCTGCGGGCTGCAGCTCCCCAGGCGGGATGGAGATGGAGATGAGATGGAGATGAGATGGAGATGGAAATGATGGAGATGGAGATGGAGATGAGATGGAGATGGAGATGACAGAGATGGAGATGAGATGGATATGGAGATGACAGAGATGGAGATGGAGATGACAGAGATGGAGATGGAGATGGGACAGGGAGCCGGGGCCCCGCGGAGCCGCTGGCGCCTCCCCGGCACGGCGCCGGCTCCGGCTCGGTGTTGCAACGCCTCCGTCCAAGGGCTGCACAGCCGGGGGTGCATTTCCTCCTGCCTGGGACGATTTCCAAACAAGAATGAGGAAATGCTGAGCTTTGCAGCCGCGTTCGTGGATGTGTCCCTAAAACACCCCGCAGAGGGAGGTGGCTGCTTTGGAGCTGCACCCCAGCTCCACTTGCAGGAGACCCTGAATGTCACCGGGCAGCGTCAAGGACACGGGGGAGAGCTGCGTGGCTCTCGGGCACCTTGGCACATGCCGTGTGCCAGCCTCCTTCCCAGGAGCTCTGCTCGGGGCAGCACCCACGGGTTGTGGGGCGGGTGACGCCTGGCCCGCCCGCAGCCCGCTGCCACTGATGTCACCGCCCGGTCACCGAAATTGCTAATTAAGTTTTGCTTCTGTCACTGCCAATCTCATTTCCTGGTTCTTGTGCAATCCCAAGTGCTTTCAGGTTTCTTCCCGATTCTTTATCTGCCTGCGGGACCAAAACACCTTCAGAAGAAAAACAGAGCTGATGTCTTGGGTCAGTGCCCGGGGAGGAGATGTCCTGTGGGGGACAATCAACCGTGAAGCAGTTTTTTTTTAGCTGCCTTAGTGTTTTGCAGAAAAACATTCCTGGGGGTGAGTCAGGCAGCCACAAACATGAGGCTGTCTTAAGAACCGGGGGAATTAGCAAAAACGCAACTGCTTTAGAGCCCAGTCATGCCTTAAAGCCTTTTCTCCTTTTGTAACATCGGAAAACTGCTTGAAACCCGAGGCTGGAGAGCCGAGGCGCGCTCACCCCGCCGGCTTTGCTTGGGGAGGTTGTTTGGAATCTTGCCCTCCTGCGAGAAAAAAATCCGGGAGTATTTGAGATAAGCCCCGGAGGCGCCGGCACGGGCTGTGCCCTGCTGGCTGTGCCCTGCTGGCCGTGCCCTGTTGGCTGTGCCCTGCTGGCCGTGCCCTGGCACGTTTGGGGTCTGTCTGCTCCGACACGTGGGAGCCTCTCAGGCAGGATCTATGGAAAACTGGGAAGGCAGCGATGCGTTTAATTCACCTAATTGGATCTGCGTTCGGCTCAATAGCTGGAAATTGCTGCTATATTGAAATAATCGACTCAAATTCACACCTGTTGGCTGAGGATTTTTAGCTGACTGTAAATCACAGCAGAGCCTGTATAGTTTCGAGGTTTAAAGAGACTCTACTACGCTCTGGTTCTTAAAATTTGTGCTTTAACTCAGCGGTTTATGGATGGGAAGGGCTGAAGTAGGAGATTGCGGTGTTTCCCCAGCAGCTCTCCCTGCAGCTCTCAGCCTTTTCCAAGGAAAGCCCTGGGGCAAACCCAGCCCTGCAGCCACGGGGGGGCTGAAGCCGGGTGGGAAGGGGTCGTTCCTGGGGTGCCAGGACAGGACGGGGGGAGGTAGGGCTGCCTGGCATCGGGCTGCCCCTGTCCCCACGGATTGGGTTGTCACTGTCCCGGGAATCTGGCTGCCCCTGTCTCAGGGATCTCGTTGCCCCTGATGTCCCCAGGACCACCCAGGCACCCAGATCCATTCCGTCACATATCCACATGGTCCCAGCCAGGTTTTGGGGCGCTGGGGGAGCACAACCCAGCAGCCTCCCCAGCTTCCCCCCCGGCAGCAGTTTAGCAGCGCTGGGAGAAAAACACCTGCACGAGGGCAACCCTCCACAAACAAGGGGCCAAAAGGGATGACACACGCAGAGAAGGGACCGGAGGTGGTGAATAAAATTTTCAATGAGCAACACCTGCTTCTTTAAACAAACAACAAGTTATTCAGCCAGTAACTCGCTACTTTAAATAAATAAAGCGATGCTTTAAAGCGATGCCCGTGAGATAGCTGTCGCTTTTAATAAGTAATATTTTAATAAGAAAAGAAAACAATACTGAACGTCCTCCACGGGTGTCCCGGGGGTGGGAGTGGGGCCCGGGGCGGAGCCGCCTCCGCGCCGCCCCCACCGCGGGCGCCTTTAAAGCGCGGGCGGAGCGGGCGCGGGCAGCGCTGCGCCGGTGAGCGCGGGGCCGCGGGTTCGAGTCCCGCTGGGGGCGGCGGCCGGGGGGAGCCGGGGTGGCTGGTTCCGGGCTGGGGGGGTTGGTTTTTGGCATAGCCGTGGGGAGATGGGCCGCGCTGATGCGGCACTCACCTGTGCGCCCCCGCAGGGCCGTCGCCATGTCGGTGTCGCACAGCTCCAGGCTGAACAAGCTGGTGCGGGAGCAGTACATGAGGCTGCCCCAGGACGGGAGGGTTCAGGTCACCTACGTCTGGATCGACGGCAGCGGCGAGGGCGTGCGCTGCAAGAGCAGGACCCTCGATAAGGAGCCCAAGAGCATCGAAGGTAACGCGGCTGCTTGTCCCTCGGGTGATGGGGGGTGCGGAGGAGGGCCCTGAGCACGGCTGGGAGAAGTTCTGGGGTGTTTCAGGCGGTGGGAGCTGGGACGGGCTCTCCCTGGTTGTGTGGCACCAGAGATACCTGTTGCAGCTGTCTGGTGGGGTTGTACCAAGCAGCAGGGTGAATATCCAACCTGCGTCCCTGCGGTTTGCTTAATCCGCTAATCTCTGCTATTAGTGCTGGGTGGGAAGGGGAGGATGAGTTCCTCGCCCCTTTCCCCCAGGTAAACAGGCATGGAGACGTGTCGGCATCTGGATGGGGTTTGGCAGAGGGAGGTGGAGTGGCTGAGACTGATCCTGCTGGTGCTGGGGTGGGGTGAACAGGCTGATGCTCAGGGAACACCGGTGGGCTCCGGGGATGTGCAAGAAAAACCTTGTGGTTGGCATCCCGTGGAACTCGGCACCCTTTGGGTGCTCCATCCTGGATCTGAGCCACCAGCACTTGGCACAGTCCGTATGTGGGCCTTTTCCCAACCTCATTCCTAAATCCGTCCCCCTCCTGCCTCGCAGATGTCCCCGAGTGGAATTTCGATGGCTCCAGCACGGCGCAGGCAGAGGGCTCCAACAGTGACATGTTCCTGGTGCCCGTCTGCATGTTCAGGGACCCTTTTTGCCTGGACCCCAACAAGCTGGTGCTCTGCGAGGTGCTGAAGTACAACAGGAAACCCGCAGGTGAGCACCCCCAGCTCCCCAGGGTCACCCCCTTATAATTTAGGGGGTCACCTCCCCCAGGGGCCGCCGGCCCTGGGGCGCAGCCGAGCGCTTGGCCCGAGGCTCCGGAATCGCAGCGCTGGTGGCGGTGCCTGTCTGCAGGAGCCTGTTTTGGTGGCACGGGGCGAGGAGAAGCGCAGCGAGGAGCGGAGCTCGCTCCCGGCCCTCGCCAAAGGCGGCTCCCGGCTCGGGAGCTCACCCAGCCCGCGGGGAGCGGCAGCTGCAAGTGCGGGGTTCCGACATGCCGGGCTCGGGGCTGCTCTTCTCGCGGGTGGGAGGCTGCAGAAGAGGAAGGAGAAGATGCTGAGGTGGCGTGTGCTCGCTCGGTGACCTTTTGCCAACTGCCCCAGAACGCGCGGCTCGCTCTTATCGCCGGGTGCAGCGGCAGGAGGCTGCGGCCCGCCTTGTCCCTCCGATAAAGGCCCAGACACAGGAAAAGGAGCCTGTCTGCAGGGACGCGCTGAGGGGCTCCCGGAGGGGTTATTTGCCGGCAAATAGCCGGATATTTGCCACTCCGGCAGGGCTGAGCCCCGCGGGGTGTGCGCGGGAGGGAGAGGGCATCTGCGGGTGATGCAGCTCTGCCCGAGGGCAGCGGGCAGGGATGGTGAAAGATGGGGCTGATTCCTCCTCCAGCAGCGACCAGACACGGCTGGGGGAAGTGTCTTGGTTGGGATTCCTGCCCGGCAGCTCCTCCACTGCAGGAGTTTGTGAAGAGAGCCCCTGATCCTGGGGCAGAGGGCTCAGCCCAGAGCCCTGATGGTGAGAGGGGTGAACCCTCCAGCCCTTCCCGTGGTGGGTTTCCATGGACTTTAAGGGCTCTGTGGGCTCAGGGGAAGAAATTGTCTCAGCCTTGCCCTCCATCTGCCACTGCTTCCCTCCAGCCCCATGCTCCATTGTAGCTGCTCTGGGGTTTTATTGCAAGTTAGGGCAGAATGTGCAGCCTGGAGCCTGCCTGTCCCTGTTACAGCAGTTTTTCAGCCTTTTTCGCTGATGTCTTGGTCCAAGCTCTCATTCGCCTTGCCTGGCTCGTTCATGTCTGGACAGTTCTCTGCTATCTGTGTTTTTCTGGCAAAGCCCGAGTTGCCTTGAGCACCTCAAAAGGCCAAGGCAGGGCCAGCCAGTCTGGATGCTAACCAAAACCATGGAGCTGCAGAAAGATAAGGATAATTAAGATGAAGCTGGTAGAAGGAGGATGGGGGTGAAGCAGTGATGGAAGCCCCTGTTCCCAGGTCTGCTGGATGCCTGTAGGATGGGGCTGGGGTAAGGATCCTCATCTCTCAGTGAGTAAGAGGAGGATGGACCCTCAGCAGTGGTTTGGGGAACAGGGTAATTAAACCTCCTTGAGCTGTGGCCTGACGCTCTGGTGATGGAGTAATTGTGAGGAGGAATTTGGTGAGCAGGAAGGGGGATTCACTCATGACTTCCTTAAGGCTTCTGTGGAAGCCCTTGGCAGTGATGGAGGAGCAGAGCGTGGTGGGTGCTGGCTCACAGCACGGCTCTAACCCGGACCTCTCTGCCCCCAGAGACCAACCTGAGACACACGTGCAAGAAAGTCATGGACCTGGTGAAGGACAGCCACCCCTGGTTCGGGATGGAGCAGGAGTACACCCTGCTGGGCATCAATGGCCACCCCTACGGCTGGCCCGACAACGGCTTCCCCGGCCCGCAGGGTAAGAGCTCCCTCCCTGCCCCAGCCCAAATGCCCCCTCGGCTCCCACCCTGCTGCTCTGGGGTGCTGGGAGGTGCCAGTGAGCCCGTGCCCAGCCTCGGTGCAGCTTTGCTGTCAGGGATGGCCCCAGGTAGGGGCTGTTTGCTGAGAGCACCTGGTGCCCCGTGGCTCACGTGAGCCAGACCCTGCTTGCACAAACAGCTCAGCTGCACGACTTGTTTGGCAAGGGCTGGATAACTGGGCTGGAAAAACCTCCTCCCCTTGGCTGTTGGAGAAAGGGCTTGGCACGGCGAGCTGTGCCCTCCTGCTGCAGCGAGGCAGCTCCTCAGCTATCTCCTGGGAGAGAGCCAGAGGTTTCCCAACCTGATTTTTGTGTGGACTGGCTGCATGCAATATCTCCCTTCCCCAGGCGGGGAGAAGGTCTTTGCCTTACCTGCTTGAATGAGGAAGATCTCAAACCCCAGCGAATTGGATTTTCTAGCTGTGACAATGCCAGCTGTTGTCAGAACAATCTCGGAAGCTTGATGTGCTCAGAGGGCGAGGGAGGTGCCCGGGGCAGACCAAACTTTCCTTATCTCGAGGCCACCTCCCAGCTGATGTGTTACAAGTATTATTGAACTGCCCAGATAAGGCTGAGGTTGCACAGATGAACTGCTCACACTGCTAGTCCTGAAGCTGGGTCAGTGGCTTGATGTCCTGTGGAAAGAAACATCATTTTAATTCCCATAAATTCTCTGCCCGTGGCAGCAGGTACCTGGGGGTGTGGGATTATGTTACAGTGCTGTTGTAGCTCCCTGACGTTTTCCTTGGCTGGTGACTCCTTGTTCTTTCCAGGCCCCTATTACTGTGGGGTTGGAGCAGATAAGGTGTATGGCCGTGATATCGTGGAGTCCCACTACAAGGCTTGTCTCTATGCGGGGGTGAAGATCTGTGGCACCAATGCCGAGGTGATGCCCTCCCAGGTATGTGGGGATGGCCCCAGGCAGCCCATTCTCAGGGATGGATATTGTGAGGCTGGAAGAACTCCCAACTCCTCTGGAACTTCAAATCCAGGGACTCCTCACATCAGTTTTGCTTAGGTGGGAGCAGTTGCACTGCTGGAATGGAAATGTGCGTTTGATTTTCTCCTAACTCACCCCAAGCTCCTTGCACAGCTCAGCCTGAGCTCTGGCTGCCAGAGCAGAGCTGGGAGCTCCTCCATGGGGTCAGGGATGTGGGGGCAGCAGGAGCTGGGGTGGGCTGCAGGAGCACCATGTGGAGTGCTGGGGTATGAGCCCTGTTCTGGAACTGGGAAGCTTGGGTGGGACATGGCCTTGGGGAGCAGTTGGGAGGATTTGGGTTTATCTAGGAGTGAGCAGCAGGAGCCCCTGATTGCATTAGGCAGGTGGCCAGACTGACCGACTGCGGGTCCTGCTGCTGACTGCTGCTGATGTGGCAGTGATAACTGGGGGCTTATCAGCAGTGGAGCTGAGGCAGGACTTTTACCCACCCCGCTGTTTGCCCCAAATTCTTAAGGGTCCTTCTTGGCTGCCTTCCACATCCTGGGCTCGGGCTCTGCCATGCCAGCAGCCACAAAGACGTCACCCTGTGCTTAGTAACCGTGGGTGGTGCAGCCCTGGCTCCAGCCAGGCAGGGAGCAGCCCTGGGAAGGACTAACAGACTCCTCATTAATCCTCTGCCCTGTTTGCACTGTGGGCTGGGGGTCCTGCTCACAGCAGCTCCAGCCTCAGTCAGATGTGTTTATTTATCTCTGTTTTGATTAAAAACCCCTCTGATTTGCTCTACATAGCGATGAGCAGTTTCTTCCCATTTTTTTGCATGCCGAAGTTGTCCTGTTGCTTGCCTCAATGCTCCCCATCCTTGTTGCTGATTCCCAAGGGTAACATCAGCCACAGCCCGGGCTGGGGGTGGCAGGGATGTGGTGGCTGGGGAGGCACCCACCTGCCCATCCTTACCTGTGTGTCTGCTCGCCCTTCAGTGGGAATTCCAGGTGGGCCCGTGTGAAGGCATTGAGATGGGGGATCACCTCTGGATGGCTCGGTTCATCCTGCACCGTGTCTGCGAGGACTTTGGGGTTGTGGCCACTCTGGACCCCAAACCGATGACCGGCAACTGGAACGGCGCCGGGTGTCACACCAACTACAGCACCGAGGAGATGCGCAGAGAGGGGGGTCTCAAGTGAGTCCTGGGGGGTCTCAAGGGGAGTCTCAGGACTCAAGTGAGTCCTCGGGGGCTCCTTGGGATGTATCTGGGAGCTTGGGAGTGTCCTGGGCCATATGGGAGCTTGGGGGTGTCCTGGAAGTATCTCCCTAGCTGTGTGACTGCACCAGGAAGGGTTGGGGTTATCCCAGCTCATTAGAGCAGCTGATAATGAGGAGTCCCCTGGACTGTCCTGGTCCCTGCACAGGAGGAGGGGGTGGCACCCCCAAAGGGACCTGCTGAGCCCCCTCTGCTCCCCCGCAGGCACATCGAAGCTGCCATCGAGAAGCTGAGCAAGCGGCACGATTACCACATCTGCGTGTACGACCCGCGCGGCGGCAGGGACAACTCCCGGCGCCTCACCGGCCACCACGAGACTTCCAACATCTTCGAGTTCTCCGCCGGCGTGGCCAACCGAGGCGCCAGCATCCGCATCCCGCGCCAGGTCGGCCAGGACGGCTGCGGCTACTTCGAGGACCGGCGGCCGGCGGCCAACTGCGACCCCTACGCGGTGACCGAGGCCATCATGAGGACGACGGTGCTCAACGAGACCGGGGTGGAGACCAAGGACTACGCTGGCCACTGAGGCACCAGGGTGGGTGGAGGTTCTCGTGCCTACGGTAGCTTCTCCCGTGGGATTTGTGCCTGTGCGGTGTCTTCAGCTGCAAGCTCAGACTCTTTAGGAACCTCGCTTCTGGTCTTGTGAAACTTCGCCTTAGAAATATGTGTTTTATAGCAAGAGGGAGGGGCCCAACCTATTTTCTCAACCACTTTGTTTTTTCTGGTTCCTGGTTTTAGGTCATGAGGTTGTTTTTTTAAAAAAAACCAGAACTTGGATTGAATTTTTTTCCCTGATGGACTTTACACTGTGATGTATATAGATTCCAACGTGGATGCTGCAGCTGCTGCTGTTTGCACCTGTGGAGGGTGGGTGCTTTTTTTTTTTTCCATATCTCTGTTGCAAGGAAATGATAATAAATAATTTTCCTGGCTGCGTGGCAGCTGGGCTATGCTGTGGTGAGTGCATTTTCCTGTAACTCCTAGAGCTCCATAGAGCTTTTCATTTGGGTGATGCTGGTGGGTTGCAGCTACTGAGCAGCCTGGGCAGGAGCTGGAGGCGTGCAGATGCTGGAGGATCCTTGAGGCAGGTGCCTGGAGCTGCCTTGCCTCATTTTCTGGACCAAAGGCCATCTCCTTCCATCGTGATCCCAAAGGCAAACAGAGCAGTGCGGGCTGAGCAAACAGCGGCCGGAGCAGCAGCTGGCGGGCGTTTACACAGGGTGTGTGCTGCTGAGTCAGCACAGCCAGCCCGGCCCCGGGCACGGCCAGCACAGCCCTCCCCTCTGGGGACACCTTTGGGTGCAGCAGGGGAGCCTGGGGACGTCCCCCCTGCTGCCTTGGTGAACCACAGGGTCATGATGCAGCTCCTTGGGTTGGAGATCCTTCACAAGGTGGAGGCCACAGATTTATTGGTAGAATCACAGAAGGGTTTGGGTTAGAAGGGACCAAAGGCCCATCCAGTTCCACTCCCTGCCCTGGGCAGGGACATTTTCCACTGTCCCAGGCTGCTCCAAGCCCTGTTCAGTCTGGCCTTGGACACTTCCAGGGATCTGGGAGCAGTCACAGCTTCTCTGGGCACCCTGTGCCAGGGCCTGGCACGCTCACAGGGAAGGATTTCTTCCTAATATCTGATCTAAACCTCTCTTTCAGTCTGAAGCCATTCACCCACACCTTATCAAATCCATCGTCTAAAACCCCCAGGAAGGGCATTTCCATGTAGATGGGATTTTAACAGCAACTCCAGTCCCTGACCCTCGGGTCCCTCTGCAGTGCAGCTGTGGGGTGATGGATACAAGCACAGGGGACATCCCTCTAATCCCAGGGACATCTCAGACAGGGCAGGCCTCTGGGACTGACCTGCAGGGTGTGACCCAGCTGCAGTCACCAGCAGGGAGTCACTGTAGGTGAGAGGAAGCAGCAGCGTGGACAGAGGACACCAGTGCAGTCACGTGGATTTTGGAACTGGATTTATGTTTATTCTTGAATCTGACACAGGTGACAAGCTGGGCTGGAGGGAGGCCCCTGAGTCCCTCCTGCAGGGCATGGTGCTGCCAGTGGCACAGGGGCTAAGGCCAGGGAAGAGGGTCAAGCCCCAGAACACAGGCAGCCAGGAGCCCTCAGTGCCTCTGAGCTGTTCAAGAATAAATGTCACCCAGTCCCCATCCTAAAAAGGAAGGATTTTCCTTCCAGAAGTTGTTGTTTGGGATGTTTAGCGTTTTTCATCAAAACCACAAGGCTGTCTTGTTTTCCTCTCATTTCTATGGTATCTCTAATGGGTAATTTGAGCACTGGGACACTGACTGATGGATGCAGCTGGAAAATCAATAAAAAGCTAAATCTGGAGTGGGGAGACTTCTCTTTGCTTCCCTGGCTGTACCAGTGGCTGAAGTACACAGCTTTCATCACACTGTGCTGTGCAGATGCTGTCAAGTTTGGGAACATGTGAGTTCACATTCCCAACATGGGAGTGTCTGCGGCTGGACACAGCACTGTGGGACATCCAGACATTTGTGTCTCTGGCTCTCACCCTGGGCTTCCCCTGCAACCAAGCACCATCCTCTCCAGGGTGGGCTAGTGAGGCTCCAGGGCTAGCCAGGAGCTCTCCCAAAGCCACTCCTGTGGCTGCTCTCTGAGCTGGGATCAGTCCTCTCCCCACATGCCAGGAGCCACTGGCTTGGAGGCATTCGTGCTATCCTCTGCCAAAACACAGATCTTCTCACGGGTGCTTTTTTGAGGTCAAACTGGGCCAGAAAACACATGTCAGGGTTTTGTTTTTTTCCTAAAGCAGAAGTGATTCCCACCCACAGGGCCCATAGTACAGGGGAAGCAAGGACAACAACATATTCCCACAAGAATTTTTTCCAATAATTCTGCTGTGTATGCCACTGTTGGAAGTAGATTTTTGGGTTCAGTGAGGTGCTGGGGATGGAGCCAGCCATGGGGCTGAGACTTGAGGCCATGGCAGGGGTTACAGTGTCCCCATCCCCATCCAGGGGTTGCACAATGCTGGCAGGAGACACAGCCAGCATCACCTGGTGCTCCGTGCTGGACTGATGGGTGGGAGCAGTGCTGGGAGCCCAGCTGGGATCCAGCCTGGCATGGGGCTGCTGGGGCTGGGTCACTGTTACCCAGGGCTCTGCTGAGGGGCTGTCCTGGATGTTATCCAGGGCTCTCCCAAAGCAGTGCCCCAAGGTGGCTGGGTCGGTGCCACCCGGAGCATTCCCCAGGATCATTCCTGAATGGCTGGGTCAGTGTCACCAGAATATTTCCCACGAGCTTCCCGAGGTGGCTGGGCCGGTGTCACCGGGAGCATTCCCTGGGAACATCCCCCGTGTCCCGGCGGTGTCACCCGGAGCATTCCCAGGAACATCCCGGGATGGCTGTATCGGTGCCACCCGGAGCATTCCCAGGAACATCCCGGGATGGCTGGGTCGGTGCCACCCAGAGCATTGCCCAGAGCATCCCGGGATGGCTGTGTCGGTGCCACCCGGAGCATTCCCAGGAACATCCCGGGATGGCTGGGTCGGTGTCACCGGAGCATTCCCAGGAACATCCCGGGATGGCTGGGTCGGTGTCACCCGGAGCATTGCCCAGAGCATGCCGGCTGTCCCGGCGGTGTCCCCGCCCGGCCGGGGGTGACAGGGACATTTGGGGGGCTGGTGCCCTCTGCAGACGCGGACAGGGATGGCAGGGAGCAGCGCCCGGTTCGTGCTGGGAAAATCCGCCGGCATCACCGAGTCCCAGCGTCCCCCGGCGCTGCCAAGGCCACCACTGAGCCATGTCCCCATGTCCCCACATCCACACGGCTTTTAACACCCTCCAGGGACGGTGACTCCACCGCTGTCCTGGGCAGGGCTGGACAATCCTCTTGGTGAGGGAATTTTCCCTAATATCCAGTCTAAACCTGTCACTGAGGCTGTTTCCTGTCATCCTTGTTACCTGGAGAAGAGCCCGACCCCTACGTGGCTGCACCCTCCTCTCAGGTGGCTGTATATCAAACACGGGTCCCTGCCTCACATATCTTTACTCTAATAAAAATAATTGATAGCCAGAAATCCAGCAGCTGCCACAATGCCAAGAGAAATGACTATGACTAAAGGACAATCTGATCCCAGGTTTGATGTGGCTGTCTTACACCTTACAGGAGTACAACGAAATACTAGGAGGAGAAGGAAAATAAATCTGCTTAACGCACTCCAAATAAATTCTTGCTACTGTAAAGCAAAATTCAAGTTAGTTAGATGGGAGGAGATTGCAACAGAACCTTTGCCTGCATCAGCTAGAACTGTCAGCAGTATTTTTAGGGAGAAAAGCACCACAGCAAACCAAAACATCAAGCTCCTTTGGTTTAGGCTCTGGCTGTGCCCACCTGACCCCAGAACCACCCTCACCCACGGGGCAAATACAAATCTTCTATTTCCACACAGAGAGTGGCAGATAAAACCCCCTTGGGGCTGTATCCACTCCCCAGGCCAGCCCTGGGCTGCAGGAACCGAGCTGGGTGCTGCTGAGGGACACGTCACCCCTCAGGAAGGGTTGTCCCCAGGGCTGTGACCCTGCAGATGGATAAGAGACTCCGAGATGTGGCTCCAGTGGGTGACCAAGCTGGGACATGGCCTCATATCCTCATCCAGGCATCCCTGGGTCCCTTCCTTCACCAAGCACCCCAGGAAGGTGCTGCAGAGAGGCTGCCCAGGGTGGGTGAGCACCGTGGCCACCCCATGACAGGAGCAACAGCACAGGGGTTTGCACATTTCTCCCTTTTCAAGTCTCTCTTTACCACTATAAATTCCATTACTTTGAATTTACTGAAAGCCTTCAGGATTTTTTTTTCCAAGCCAGTTATAAAAAGGACATTGGAATTACAGTTCCAGTGCTAACAATAGCATTACTCAAAGCTGCTGCTGAGAAATAGGGAGCTCTGGATAGAATAAAGACCTAAACTAAAATGTCAGTAATAACTCCTTTTTTTCTCTCCCTGTCTTCCAGCCCACACAATCTGCTTGGGTCCCTCTATCTTAATGAGCATTAAAATGGTTTCAAATTAGATCTACAGAAAATTGAATTTTTTTCCCCTCAGAAGCTTAGTCTGGCCTTTAAAGGCCACTGATGATATTTTGGTTTTGTGTAAGAGCATCTTTGATCTCCAAGGCTCTCAGCTCACAGAGAGACACGGCTCATTACCAGCAATTTGTTGCTGTTGAAATGCGAGTGGAGGGGGACAGACACCATGGAGAGAGAGCCAGGGAGGGGTTTGGCTCCAGACCCCACTGGCCCCTGTGGCTCTCCTGGCCTGAGCCTGTGTGTGGTCACCAGGCTGGTGCTGGGTTTGCAGCCAGCTGCTCTCAGCTTGGTTTTGTCCCCAAAAATGTGGGATTAAAGAGCCCCTGAGCCTGACCTGAGCTCCAGGTGGGCTGTCTGGGGAGTCCTTGAGGACACCCTGGGTGACAGCAGTGTCTTGCAGAGATGCAGCAGTGACCTGGCAATGCACACTGGCTTTTCTTGTGTTGCTTGTGCTGAATCCCTCTCCACATCCTCAGTCCCAGGGGCTCGGTCCCAGGGTCAGGCTGCCTGAGACCTGCTGCTTCCTCACTGCTGGGAAGATGCAGCAATCAGACCTTCCAGGAAAGCCCGTTACCATGGCAGGGCCTGGCTGCTGCTGCTGCTGCAAAAAGAATAAATCTAGATGGTGCAAAGCAATCCTGAGCACTGCAGTGCCCTGGGGCAGCACTCCCTGTCTGGGGGATGTTTGTATGGCACAAATGGCCTCAGGGTGAGCAGCCTGGGTTAAGTTGGGGCTTGTACCTGGGTGTAAGAGGAGCCACCAGGCCTGTCCTCCTGCTCCTGGGAGAGAAGGCAGCAGAGGCTGTGGCAGTGCAGAGCAGAGCAGGCCCTGTCTCTGCTTGGCTCAGTCACACTGGGATGGCAGAGTCCCCGTGAGGTCACAGCAGCACTTGGTCACTGGCTTGAGAAAGCTCAGCAAAGAACTCAGCTGCCCCAGGTGCTCCTAGAGCAGCCTCATCAGCCCTTAATGACCTGCAGGAGCTCCCTGTGCTCACCCCAGCACCCTCCTGAGCCCTCAGTCCTGCTGCTGGGGGAACAGGGCCAGGAAAGCAGCACAAGCACCCACCAGCTGCAGGCTGAGAGCTGCACGGGGGGTCAGGCCACCAGCAGGCATTGCTGGCTGTGAGCAGCCTCACTGGATCCCAGTGCACGGGCCCTGAGATGTTTATTTGAGCTCTGCCAGAACCATCACTCCCTGTTCCAGCTGAACTGGGAGTGTGGGTCTCCTGTGCTGGCCACCCAGACCTTCACCCATGGTCTGCAGAGATCCAGGAG